GTCGCTTTCGCGCTCTTCCGAGACCGACTTTCGAAATTTTAAGCGCACTAACGCACATGCCTTAGGAGAAAAGAAAAGTGATGAGCTCTGTGTGTCCTATTATCCGCGGGGACGCTGATATCCCTTATGAGGAGGGTAAGTTATTCGGTAATCTGGAGCGATTTGCTGATGGGATTGTGAATGCGATGCCAGACTTCTATGATGGCGCTCATACAGCACAACTTGACCATCGAGTCCGTAGTGAGCTGAACAGTTATATTGTCCCATCTACACAGCATAATGCTCCAATATTGCCCAACTTTTTTGCTGAGGCCAAAGGTCCCGATGGCTCTACTGCCGTTGCCAAAAGACAAGCGCTCTATGACGGCTCCCTTGGCGCTCGTGCGATGCTTCGACTCCAAGCATATGGGAAGGAGCTTGCATATGATGGTAATGCCTATGTCGTTACCTCGACTTACCACGACGGGAACCTCAAATTGTACACGACTCATCCAACCACATCCAACGACGCAGGGAGAGATACAGATTACCACATGACTCAGCTCAGGTCCTTTGCCTTGACTGACACTGCAGAGAGCTTCCTGCAAGGAGCTAGTGCTTTCAGAAATGCTCGAGACTGGGCAAAGGAACAGCGAGATTATGGTATTGCAAACGCCAATGGCACTGTCGCTGATATTCGCGTGGACATGTCCTTCGAAACGTCAAGTCAGAGTTTGGTCTCTCATTCTGCCCATGCAACACGCGATTCTGAGACATCAGCTGATGAGATTTCCTCTGCTAACGTCACAAGAATGGATCGTTCCGTCGGGACGAGAACGCTTTCTCCATCCAGAAGAAGGGAAGATCCAGAGAGTCGTGCCAGATCTAGCTGGAGATCTCGTGTTCCCAGAGCTTAGACTTGACAATGCCTGCTGCTCGATGGAATGCGGTGGGTGGCGAAGAATAATTATCGTACGAATTAGTAATAAGCAAACCGAAGCCAAAAATCTCGTATTCAGAATTTTAATGATGCACAGAGATTCAATTAGATCGCGTTGACGGAGGTTACGGACCTCCGACGGGCGGCAGTGTCGGATGAAGGTGGTTATGCGGGGTATTTAAACGCGATTGCATCCCAGGCATGTAACGCAGCACAGGACTTATTGTTGTTAGTACGGAGTAGAAGATTAACGATTCTCATGACAACCTCTCTTTAGTATTCTTCTTTAGTATTCTTATTCTTATTCATTATTGTTGTTATATAGCCGAGCTGAGCCTCCGTGTTATTACATAGAAACTGGCAAAAGGCGACTTTACCTCAAATCAACCGCAAACACAATTGAGGGGAAATTCTCTCCTTTTACGTCCTTGGCTTCTGTATAACAAATCAATCACCCTTTCCTTACCTGCATTGTCTCCAACCTACAAGGATACCTTCTTAAACCCATCAAAAACAAAACCATTTATTCCCTCCCCCCTCCCCACAAAGGAAAAATGGACCCCCCCAACACCCCTCTGCCCCCCTCAATCCGCTCCCTCCACCAACCCGATCCCTTCAAGCCTGAAATAACCCTAAGAACCACAGCCCCACCCGCCGCCCTCGACCGCTCCTCCTCAACCGAACACCTGATCCGCGTGCACGCCACCTCCCCCTGCGCCGGCGAACTGACTTGGCCCGCCTGGAACCCGCACCTGTTCTCCGCCGAGATCGTCCCCTGCTACGACCTGTCCGGCACCGTCGTCCAAGCGTCGGCCAACTCGCCGTTCCCGCCCGGCACGCCCGTCTGGGGCCGCACGAACGTCAAGCGACCCGGCAACGCGCGCGAGTACACCATTGCGCCGACGGAGGAGCTCGCGCGGCGGCCGGCGGGCGTCGATGCGATATCGGCGGCGAGCGTGCCGTTGAGTGCGGAGACGGCGGTGCAGGCGCTGTTTGTACACGGGGGATTAGCGGGGCTGGGGGAAGGGGAGGCGGGGAGGGAACGGAATCGGGGGAAGAAGGTGCTGGTGACGGCTGCGTCGGGCGGAGTTGGGGTTTGGTTGCTGCAGTTGGCGAGGGAGGCGGGGGTGGGTGAGATTGTGGCTGTTTGTGGGTCCGGGAATGTGGATTTTGTGAGGGAGTTGGGGGCGACGGAGGTTATTGACTATACGAAATCGAGTGTGGGGGAGTGGGCGGGGAGGGTAGGGCCCGACGGGAAGGTGGATTTGGTGGTTGATTGTAAAGGCGGCGAGTCGCTAGGGCAATGCTGGAGTGCTGTGAAGGACGGCGGGGTGCTTTTGTCTATTTGCGAGCCACCGGAAGGGCGGAAGCCGGAAGGGTGCATGGTGAAGGATGTCCGAAATGAGTTTTTCATTATGGAGCCGAGGGGGGATGATTTGTTGCATGTCGGGAGGTTGTTTGATGAGGGGAAGGTGAGGGCCGTTGTGGACAGTGTTTGGAAGCTGGAGGAGTATAAACAGGCGTTTGAGCACCTGGATAAGGGGCATTCGAGGGGCAAAATCCTTCTTACGTTGTGATGCGGATATTGGCTATTTGAGTTCGCATTTATAATAGCACCGCATGTTCTTTTCTCAGCTATATGTTGTCATCCCCTCAATTTGGATATTGATGAAATTGGATGTGATGATGATCCGGGATTTTTGATCTGGCGATGTGTTATCCCTTGGAAATCTCGCATCTCACATGTCGCATGTCGTCTTCGTCCATGATTCAATCCTGTGAGTTGCGCCCATGAGGCTGTGCAATCGACAGACTTTTGCCACATCACCATTTCCCGTTGCGACGAGGCGCCAGGTTAAGCTGTAGGCTATTGGATATTGAAAATAAAGTGTATGCACCTAAATTGGCAGATAGTTTAGTCGAATAGCTAAATCCTGCTCCTTCCCATAAGGAAAACCAACGATGAAGATGAAGAAAAATAAAAACTAAGACACATCCTCATACGGGTCATCTGATTGTCCAAAGCTGTGGAAGCCGTGAGTGCCCACGTAACTATCCCGCTTTGCGCTGTCCGGTTGGATGAAGTTTGGTCCAGTTCACTCACTGGTTTGATTGAACGCGCGTCAGCATCTTGCTTCATATATCTATAAGCATATAGATATATATGATGGCGGGGCTGTCGGATTTCGTTCAATGGTTTCATTGGCAGATTGATCGGTTCGTTGTTTCGTTGGACGTCTATCCCGAAGGTTTCGTTTGCTCATCTCGGGGAAGGAGCTGGATGTGCAGGATTATCCGTCGAGACGAGAACAGGCTGTCTGAAAGGGAATGCAGGAAGGATTTGAGGCCACATGTCAGACATATCGGAATGCGACATCTTTGTCGTGTAAGCTAACCATTCCACGCGGTCGAATATATAGGCACTTGCGGCTGCTTTGAGGTTGGGGTGAGAAGATTTGTCAAGTTGGTTCCAGGTTCCAGGGCTGGAAGAAAACGGTAGGAACTCTATATCTCCGTGTGCCTGTAAGTCTCATGTGAAGTCGCGGGAGTTGATAGATTTCCGTACATGGTCTGTCAATGTGCGTGGGGAGGATATCGAGAACAACGGAAACGCTGGCTCTCTCCACTGTGCTATTATCTGACCCCTTCGGCAATACTAACATACTAGCACTGAACACCCATACACAATATATATATATATATAGTAACTTGGTTAGCTAGTGAACCTTGGAACCTCTGCCCCTTTGGCCTGGGCGGCGGACGAACTTCAACGAATAAACAACGTCCAGAGAGCGAACTTACCAGTAAACCTACCAGCAGCCTGTGGCGCCATGGAACACTGACAATGTCGAAAGTTCGTTGACTTGATAGTAATATCTTATGGAAAGGAGCTTTGATGCCGCAGCAGAGTTGACGAGCACCAGCACGAGCACCAGCACGAGCACCAGCAACAGGATGCGGGCCTGACGATGCAGGAGAGAGTCGGCAGGCCATGGCCGTGAAGGCATATATGTATGTAATTTCTATATAACTTATCCATCGCCATGTCGCTCGATCAAACACGACTCTCCAGATTCCAAAATACCACTCCTGGGCGGCGTGGCGCAGACAGACCTCGCTGCTCGACTCCAAGTTGCACACTCCGTACATATACCACTCTCCGGCCTCCGCTCGTTGAAACAGGCGGCGTCAGCTCGCTCATCCAACCCTCATCCAACCTCATCCAACCCTCATATTAAGTATATATATCCTCCGGATCAAGCAGAATATTTCTCTCCTCTCTCTCTCTCTCTCTCTCCTCGTTTTTCATCGCTCCACTAGCTTGCCTCGCGCCCGTTTAATAACGCCATCTATTTATATATATTATAATAAGATAAATTCTCCGTTTCGTCACCGGCCCCTCGTTCAGCCCTCCTTTCCGCCAGTGTTGCGGACAGTTCCAACCGCGCTACATTCTG